GTTATAATGTTATTTCCAGTTTTTTGGGAATAATGCTTATTGATTGAATGATATGTGAGAACTCTCCTATAAATAGTTGAGTGAAACTGACATTTTAAACCATTTCTTCTGGGCTCCATGTTTGACTCTTAATACTGTTCTTGTGCTCTGACCCCACTGCTGCCTGCCTCTTTCTGGTCATGGTGTCCTCTGTCCTTTGCCTCTTAATGGTCTCAGTTTTCTCTTAATATGAACAAGCAATGGAGGAATGGTGCTGCTCTTTCTTCCACCTTGGTCACAAGCTAACCTCTACATTTTTGTCGAAAGAAGTCACTTTTATTCACTAAGTGCTTTCTATTCCCATTCTGTTTCAGTAATGCCTTGATTGGTTGTGTCACCTGTGCAGTAGTTGAAAATGGATATGAGTATACAATTTCAGGACCTCCCTGCTTCCTTGTAGATCATTTGGCCGTATGTAAGTGATTTAACAGTCATGCAGTCAGAATTGTTAGAGTAAATAATTTCCATCTTCATTACTGTATCTTTGTATTCACGAACACTTGTAGGAACATAATATTCTTCAGTTAAATTTAGGGAAGTTTAAAAACATTAGGCTAAATAAGTAACAAATTTAAAAATCAGGCTAATTTACATATTTGGAAACTTCCATTTTTGTAATAATGGTGAATAAATAGTTTCTTTTGAGTATTTTTTAATTTAAAATACCAACAATTGATAAAGTGTAAATTTATCTGAGGAATTAATTTAGGTTTTTTGTATGAATGCAGTCTGATATCAAATTACAATTCTATGTATATTTTAACTTAGTTACATTACAACTTTTAAAAAATTTCTTAGCCAAAAAAAAAAAAAGATTAGTAAACAGGGTTTATTATTTATTTCTGGAAACACAATTAATGTAGCATGAGTAGAGAGTTTAAAAGGAATAGTAAAACAGATTTCTTTACATGATAGATTATAAGGAAATGTCAGGTGCCAACACCTGATAAAATATTTAAAAATAGTATTGCTTTTAGTTATGAACATTTCTGTTACCTCGTTTATCATATGCCTAATTGTATGGTAGTAAAGGGTGATTTGAGATTACAAACATTGATGTTGAAACTTCATAACCTTTGACCATCTTTTTTTTTGTGTGGGTTTGTGTCAGCTAAATCATCAGTTTCATTTGCTCATTTATAACTGTAATAAGTAAAAAAAAAAAAACCAGTTTCAAAAGGATTATTTTACTTTTTTAGACATTGTGCAGATTCCATTTTAGTAGCTCCAAAATAAGACATTAGAGTTGAAGTAGGGGACAACTGATGTTATGCAGGAGTGCTGTCCTCACTTTCACCGGAAAGTGTATTTAAATTGGAATTTCCAAATGTGAGAAATCTGAAAGGAATAAAAAAATGCTAGTCCTTAATGTTAGCCGTATGGTTGGTGTTAGCCAAAATGAAGTTCAGGCTGTGATGCTCTGTAGCCACTGTATGACCTACCCAAAGGCAATCAGAACGCACTCCTTCCTTTTTTCCTTTCTTCTCTTCCCTTTTTTTTTTTTTTTTCTTTTTTTTTTTTTTAAACTAATTGGCCCATGTTTAGTTTATTGAATGTCATCTGGACTCAGTAAAAAGCAAGTGACCTGCATTGAATTAGTGTAATTGTAATACAAACAGAATATTGCATAGTTTTGGTCTTATACAGGAAAGGAGAAAGTTGGAAAGATTTTTCTGTTTGATAAATAGAAACCGAAGATATGGGGATCCAGACCTGGTTCATACTTGATTTTACCTTTCATGTCTCTTTGTAAGATCAGTATTTGGACTTTTAGGCATTTTTCCTCTGTAAAAAAATATTGGTTTTCATTTTGAAATTTACTATGAAAGAAGTCTGCTTTTGGGAAAAAAAAATCTTACAAATGATGTGTATTAAGTCATGGATCTAATTCAATCATAAGAAAGTTAGCAGTGTTCAAAATGGAAGTACTTTATGCACTACTAGGATTGTCAGGAACTTGGCATATTATTTTACCTTTATCATGACCAATATTGCAAGGACATTTTAAAATGCATTTTACTAGTTTTGGATAGTTCACATTCATTATATTAGGTGTCAGGTAGGTAATAGCTACGTTTGCTAAGGGGGAGAAAAAAGCTGACAAATTTAAATTTCATTTTAAATAATATGTCTTAAATTTTAACTGTGACTTTGGTCTCATAAAATTACTTAATTTGATTTTGAAAGTGTCATTTTGAAATAGAATTATTTGGCACCCTGAAATTCATATTCTGTGTAATTTACACTCTTGTAAGAGGACGCTGAAGGTAAAGTACAATAACTATTAACAGGTTAGATCTTCCTATTATAATCCTGGAGTACCTTGTACTTTTTGTCTTTACCACGTATTGAAATATTTCTGTGATTTTTAATTTAATATTTGTCTTCTTCACTGAATTCCATGTCTCAGGATAGCACGTACTACTAGGTCTTCCCTTGTTTTTTAACCTGATAGTCTTTAATGCCTAACACACTGCGTGGCATATAATAGGCAGTCAGTAAATGTCAGTTAAATAAGTATAAAAATGAATAAGGAAATTATTTACATTAGTACTTAGATAGATCTAGTATCTAAACAGTATCCAAGTACTGAACAATTTAGTAATTGCTTCTATAGTATAATTACAGTGGTAGAATCCTAGCTTTTCTACTTGCTAGTTGTATTATCTTGCCCAATTTAACTTCTCCATGTCTCACTTTTTTCTCATGTATACAGTGAGAATAATTATAATCTTTATCCTGAGGAGTTGTTATGAGGATTAAATGAGGTAATTCATGTTTCGTTGGGGAATACTTCACAGAAGTTAATTGATATTATTATAATTGTTCTACTTTTTACTATTTTAGAGGTGCTTTGGAATCATAGAAGGAATGTAGGGCTTTATTAGGAATGGTTGTATTAGGAAAAGCTTAAAAAATATGTAATATACAAAAAGCATATTGAAAGATGAATAATTAGACAATGCCTCATGGCCAAAGGTAAGCCATGCTGAGAACAAGTTATACTTTTTTTTGTAAGTAATGGGGGAGAAATTGGCATTTGAAGTAGGAGGTTCAGCAATCTGCATTTGAACTAGCCCACCAAGAAATTCTGATTCATGGTAAAACATAAGAACCATTGTTACATGTACACATTTATATGGATGAGAGCTATTGTTATATGTACATATTTATACAGATTAAAATGTACAGATGTTTTAAATAATATTACTTTTAATTCTGTATTTTTTTTTTTTACTTTATAATGTAGTCTAGCAAGTTTCTGATCAGTAAACTCAATTTTCTCCTACATCTGTTATGAAATTAGAAATATTTCCTGCTAGAAAATAGTTGTCCTCAGATTAAGTTAGTAACCAAAAGTGTTCCTTATCTACCTGTAAAGAAGTAGCATAACTTAATGGTTAAGATTATGGGCTTTGGAGCTAGACTGTCTGGGCTCCATTTTCAACTCTGTCCTATATTTGCTGAGTATTTGAGGGCAAGTTGTGTAACCTTCCTATGCCTCAGTTTTTTCATATATGAAATGGAGAAATACTTCTTCATAGGGTTTTGGTGAGGGTTAAAATAAATTTTTGTAAAGCTACTTAGTACTTTACCTTGTACACAGTAAGTGCTATATAGAGAAAATGTAATAGTAACACTAATTATTACTACATATGCTAACATGAATGTATCAAAAGTTACACAATTAAAGCATTTAGCAATAGTGCTGAGATAGCCTAAGCACAGCATGCTTATTTCTTAAAATGTGCTAGTTAAATGGCCATATACATGTGCCTGAACTTTGCGGCCTCATTTTATCCTTTTCTGGCTGTAGTATTATAGAAGGGTATGCCTCTTCCTTCTTCTTTTTTTTTTTTTTTCCCCCTATTCACTTGTTTCCTCTCTGCTATGGAACTTTACAGGCTCCTGTGCTCTTTGACTTAAAAGACCAACAATTCTCCTTCTCCTTTGGGCTCATACTTTTCTCTACTGCTGTCTTATACGTTTCTTTCAGAGCCACATATAAAAAGACTAATGGATACTTGCTGCTTTCCTTTGCCCAGTTGCCTCTCATTTACCCTTGAACAGACCTTGGCTGTGTTTTCCCTACCACTCTAGAGAAATTATTGACACCTTTACTGTTTGGCATTGGTAATCATTCTCTCTTCCTTAAATCTCTTACCTTTTTGATTTCTAGGATATCACCATTCCTTGGCTTTCCTCTAGCTTTTGTCTCTGTCTTGAGTTCTAAACTTATTTCTAATAATCTGCTTATATAATTTTCTTTTCTGTATTATTTTGAGATAATTCAAATCGAGTACCTCTAAGTTGTTTTCACTATTTTTTCATCAGACTTGTTTCTCCCTTTATATTTGAACCAGCTATATAATTGAAGCAACTGGTTGGATAGTGGTGCCATTAACCAAGAGTATCCTCCCTCTGTCCAGTCTTCCGCCTTTTTAATTTTATTTTGAGTCAGGGTCTCACCTCTGTCACCCAGGCTGGAGTGCAGTAGCATGATCTCTGCTCACTGCAACCTCTGTTTCCTAGGTTCAGGTGATCCTCCCACCTCAGCCTCCTGTGTAGCTAGGACTACAGGCATGTATAACCCCAACCCCCCTGGTTAATTTTTTTTTTCTTTTAGAGAAAGGGTTTCACCATGTTGCCAAGGCTGGTCTCAAACTCCTGGACTCAAGTGATCTGCCTGCCTTGGCCTCCCAAAGTGCTGGCATTACAGGTGTGAGCCACTGAGCCTGGTCCCATCTTCTACCTGTAATCAGTCACCAGGTCCTGTTGATGTTTCCTTCCCTCCTTCCTGTCCAGCTCCACTACCACTGAGCTGATTCAAGTTTTCATTATTCACGAGTTCCCAACTCCGTAACTTTCTTAATAATATCCCCTTCTCTCAAATAATATCCCCTTCTTTTCATCCACCTTTTTATTTTTCCTTCCAGTTTTTTTTTTTTTTAATACTCCAAATGACCAAATAATTTATTTGGAATAAAAATTAAAAGAACATTTGACATTTGTGAATGTATGTTTATTCTCAAACTTCTAGCTAGTTGTACAGCTAACCCTTGACAACTTACTAGATTAATTTTACTTTATTTCTTCAGGCCTGGGGTTTTTCAATGACTTCAAATTTGGGATCTTCAAATTTGAAGTTAGGGAATGTATTCATGTCTGCTTTACCATACACTTGCTTGAGATTAAAAAGCTTCCTCTCCAGCTCCTGCTGGTACTCTGGATTGGTAGTACTCTGAATCAGTATCAACAGATCCTCCAGATGTCTGTCACTTAGATTTGTATTGTCTAACCTTGTTCATGAAGAGTTTCTGTAAAGATCAAATTCCTTATTAAACACCATTGCTGTAACACCAACGTTCCTCCACAAATGGACTGTGACTGCTGACCGAAAGACACAGGAGAACCTGAAGAGCCTCTGAAGAATTGTGTTGATTCTATGTTACTTGCACTCAGTCCCGAGCTGCCAAAGCCACCACTGCCGCCACCATTCTACCTTCTTCTGGATCAGCACTAACTGATCTAATAATCTTCCGTCTCAATCTCCTTTCCGAAGTAACCTTCATGATACTGCTAGATTGATCATTCTAAAATGAAACACAGCTCATATTACTTCCTGACTTAAGATCCTCCCCATTAACAGCCAAATTCTTAAGGGTGTCTTATAAGGCCTTGGGCTCTGCGTACATCTTTATTTGTGTGATACTTCCTTTGCTTTAGCCATACGATCATTTGTAGGTAGCATTAGATTTTCCTCTGCCCTCTTCTCTGTGTTACTTTGTGCCTGCATTTTCTCCCATCTTTCTTGTATACATTCTGTTTTGGGAACTTTTCCTCTGGGCTTCCTTTGCATCCTGTGTATACCAAGATCATAGAAGTTATCATTTTCTATTATAGTTTGTGTGATTTCTCTACCACATTATGAATTTATTGATAGCAGCATGTGCAATTTTTATTTTGTGTCTTTAGTATCTAATACTATGTTTTATGATATACTAATTATTAAATAAATGATTAATACATTTATATACAAATTTGGAGTACATAATTTTCATTTGCATTTTTTAATAACTGGGAAGGTTGAAGTGGACATGTCTATATTGAATAAACCTTGAAGGAAAGAATATTATCTCTCTCTTATCAGTGAACAGCTTGAGTGCTACCATGTGTGCAGCCCTGGGTGAGGCACTACATGAATGAAATCAAAATATGAGGGAAGGACTAGTGTTATAAATTGCTTTTTCTTTGACAAAATATTCTTTAAAATAATTCATCTTATAATTCATATTTTTTTAGTACAGTTTAGTTTTAGAGAAACAAATCATTTAGGTTAACATCTAAAATGTTAATTTTGAACTTTACTGACTATACTATGGCACTTGTCCAATAGAATCTGTTAAAAATTTTCTTCTGGGTCAGATCTAAGTTGAGAAGAATGAGGTAACTTTAATTTGAACCCAGACTGTAATGTAGTCTTTCTCTCCAGTGAGTTGCCAAATTCACAATTCCATTTGTATCTGGAATTGGGGAAGCTGAGTATAATATGGATGTTTGCCAAGTTAGCAAATCTTGGCAAGATAGTCTTATTCTCTGTGCTTAATTATGTAGTTTTATTATAAAGTTTTTCACATGTTCATTTGTAGGTGTTATTCTCTTGAAGTGAGTTCACATGGTTGCCAATCTCTCATTTATACTTTATTCTTTTGGTAGTTAATCATTTACTGTCAAGTCTTCCATCTTTCTTAGAAGGCTACATTTTTATTTTTACATTTTTACATGTTACCACTAGTGATTCAGTTTTGTCTCTTTGCTAGATTTATGGATTTTTAAGCAGTACTAGTGTAAATCCCTCAGAAAGACTGAGTTCTTGCTATATTAATTTATTTCATATTTATTGAATGCCTGCTCAGACACTGTTTTAGGCACTCATTGATATATAGCAGTGAATGAAACAAAGTTCTAGTCTCTTAGGTGCCTATTTATAGTTTGGAAAGACAATAAATTACACACACACAAAAAAACGGACGTGGTGGCCCAGGCCTGTAATCCCAGCACTTTGGGAGGCTGAGGCAGGCAGACCATGTGAGGTCAGGAGTTTGAGACCAGCCTGGCCAGCATAGTGAAACCGTCTCTACTAAAAATAGAAAAATTAGCCGGGTATGGTGTTGCGCACCTGTAGTCCCAGCTACTTGGGAGGCTGAGGCAGGAGAATCGCTTGAACCTGGGAGGCTGAGGTTGCAGTGAGCTGAAATCGTACCATTGTCTTCCAGCCTGGGCAACAGAGTGAGACTTCATTTCAACAAACAAAACAAAACAAAAAACAAAACTGTAATGTATCAGGTGCTGATAACTGCTGTGAAGGAAAAGCAGGGTAAGAGGGATACATAATGACAGATATATCTGTGATATTACATATAGGATGGTCAAGAGAGGCCTGTCTAATAAGGTGATTTATAGTAGAGATGTAAAGGAGCTAAGTAAATGAGCCATGCAGATTTCTGGGGAAAGAATCTTCTGGTCAGAGGAAACTGATGTGAGTGTGTTTGATATTTTAGAAACAGTAAGGAGGTTTAAGTGGCTGGAGCTGGGTAAGATGGTAAGAGAATTAGGAGATGAGATCAGAGGGATGGAAGGGGACCGGATCACTTAAAGCCTTCATATGTCATGGCAGGACCTTTAACTTTTACTCTGAGTGAAACAGGAAACCATTGCAAGTTTTCGAGCAGAGGAGTGGTGTGGTCTGATGTGTGATTTAAAGGGCTCATTCTTCACTGAGAAGAAGTCATAGCAAGATGAGAATGGTAGCTAGGTGAATAGTGAGGTGGTTACTTCTTCAGTAGTCCAGGTAAGAGATGATGGTGGCTTGGACTAGGGTAGTAAAGGTAAAGGTGTTGAGATGTGGCCAGATTCTGGATATTTGTATTTTCTGAATGTCTAAATATGAAATGTAAATGAGAGTCAAGGATTTTTGGCTTAGGTTTTTGGCCCAGATATCTGGATGCTGAAGATAAGAAATGATGTTAAACATATTTATAGTCAATGTGTTGTAATTAAAAAAAAAAAAAAGAAATATTTACTATGTGTCAGGTTTATCTCTTAAAACATTCTGCTTTAGTGGCTGGGCGACTTGGCTCACGCCTGTAATCCCAACACTTCGGGAGGCCAAAGTGGGCCAATCACGAAGTCAGGAGATCGAGACCATCCTGGCTAACACGGTGAAACCCTGTCTTTACTAAAAATACAAAAAAAATTAGCTGGGCATGGTGGCACACGCTTGTAGTCCCAGCTACTTGGGAGGCTGAGGCAGGAGAATCGCTTGAACCTGGGAGGTGGAGGTTGCAATGAGCCGAGATTGCACCACTGCACTCCAGTCTGGGCAACAGAGTGAGACTCTCTGACTCAAAAACGAAACAAAAATTCTGCTTTAGCATCTCTCATTAACTAGAAAAATCTCATCTTCATGCTGTTTCTTTCTTTTTTATTGATTTTTATTTTTGTGAGACAGTTTTCCTCTGTCACCCAGGCTGGAGTACAGTGGTGCCAAGATAGCTCACTGTAGCCCCAACATCCCAGGGTTAAGCAATTCTCCCACCTTGGCCTCCCAAGTGGCTACAACTACAGGCATGTGCCACCACGCCTGCTATTTTTTAAAATTTTCTGTGGAGATGGCATCTCATTGTGTTACCCAGGCTGGTGTTCAACTGGGCTCAAGTAGTCCTCCCCGCTTTAGCCTCCCAAAGTGCTGGGATTACAGGCATGAGCCACCATGCCTGGCTGTTTCTTAATATCTCACATTTTATTCTCTCAGTACATGCTGTTTGTTTGGTACTTGGTTCTGAACTCTTTTTAAAATGTGGTTTCTATTATTATTCAAATATGGTGAAACAAACAGGTCAGGAGACAACTGCCATTGAAAAGACTGATACAGTTTCTAAGTGGAGAGGGCGTGGCACACCACACAGGGCTATGCTCCACTCAGTGCTCGTAGGGAAGCACCAGGGTTGGTTAGGAGGCAGAAATAGCTAGGGAAATCATGGGGAAGAGCTTTTATCATGATTTTAGTGAGAAGGAACAGGCAAGGCAGGTTAAGGAGGCTTAGAATTGGCTGATTTTAATAATTTCAGCGTACTCATGTGTAAGAACAGCTCCCAAGTTGTTTGATATGTGGCCCTGGAATGATTATTAGAACAGGGGACTATCCTAATAGTCCCAGAATATAAGAGTTCTGTGAGAGCTGAAGTAGCTAGCCTTGGGAAGGGCAGTCTTCCCTGGATCAGCATGGTTCCCCTCAATAATACAGAAAATAAAGTGAAAATAGTTTCTGTATGTCAGAGTTGCTTGGCTTCTGTCTTTTTAATACTACCATCCTAGTTTATGCCTTCCATTGGTCAGGTCAGGAAAATTACAGTAGGACCTTCCTTTCCATCTTTTCTTCTTATTTTATGTTTCCCCCCTAGCATTTATTTTTATATCAGTTGCCACAAAGGGGAGTCTTGATTGTATCACTTTACCTTGATCCCTCTAGACTGGTAAACTTTTGACCGTGTTCTAAAGTGGTGCTTTAGGGTTCCCCGTATTTGATTTGAAGTTCACTTGATTGAACTAATGTGTGTGAGAGGAAGGAAGGTGGGTATGTGGGGTCTCCAGTTTTTTTCATGCCCCTTTCAATTATTGTGGGTTTAAAAAACGATTCTATCCTAGGGTTCTGGTATAAGTTTATTTGAAAAATAAATTTCACTGCTCAAAAGTTGATAAACAACTCTTGTAAATGACTGTCAAGGTTCCTTATTATAGCATGATTATTTTATTTTTTTCTTCTGTGTCTAGGGTGATGGGCCTATCGCCCGAGCCTGTCATACTAAAGGGATTAGTCTAATTTTGTGTATGAAGTACTTGAATCTTTTCTAAGTCAAATAATATAGCCAAAGTCACAAATCTGTTATTGGAGGAAAAGGGACTTGGTATAATCTGTGTCTAAAAATCCATCAAGTTACACTAAAAAACTATCACTGTTCAAATTCTTCACTTGGCCTTTACTCTTGCTGTCCCATCCAGGTTTCCAGCCTTCTCTCAACATCCCCCTATATAGATATCCCCCTATGTAGACATCCCCCTATGTAGATTATTCATCTTGCCAAACAAGGTGATTTAACATTTTTCTAACCTGTCACCTTGGTCTCTTTTATTCCTTTACCTTCATTACTGCCTTCCATTTATAGGCACATTCCCCCCTTTTTTTGGAGGAGGTAGGGGAGTAGAGACAGAATCTTCGTTTATTGCCTGGGCTAAAGTGAAGTTGTGTGATCATAGCTCACCGCTATCTTGAACTCCTGGCCTGAAGCTATTCTTCTTCCCCAGCCTCCTGAGTAGCTGGGATCATAGGCATATACCACCAGGACTAGCTAATTTAAGAATTTTTTACTTTTGTAGAGATAGGGTTGTGCCATTTTGCCCAGGCTAGTTTCTAACTGTTGGCCTCAAGTGATCCTCCCATCTCTGCCTCCCAAAATGCTGGGATTACAAGTGTGAGCCACCATGCCTGCCTGTGTATTCCTTTAACTTAGCAAGTGTTTACTAAACATCTGGTTTGTATTGGGCAGTCTGCTGGACTCTTGAATGTAGGAATAAATAAAATTTTTTGTGCTTCAGGGAACCCCCAGGGTAAGAAAACCACGTCTAGTGTGAGTAATCTACAGAATCCTTCAAGAGGACCTTCATATCGGATGTGTCTAGTAACATTGTGTGGTCAGACCAAGTGGTTGGGAACAATGGTAAGAGATGAGCCTGGATAATTGAAAAGAGAGGAAGGAGGCTATGAGCCAAGGATTGTGGATAGCTTGTATAAACTGGAAAAGTCAGTACAAGTTCTGTCTTAGAATTTCCAGAAATTCTAATTCTGTCAGCAGTAGGTATCTTTAGTTTTATGCAGAGTTGTTGCATTACTGGGCTACGTTTTAAACAGATATAAAACAGGTATTGAAGGAGAAACTAGAGACAGGAGACTTAGTTATATTTTCATTGTAGTATTCTACTGAGCTGTTTGCTTTGTACCTGAATTTTAACAACCACAAATATTTGTAGTATCAAATTATCTTATATATTTTTTCATTTGATGCTAAAACAACATAGTGTGCTGGGACAATTGGATGTCCACATGTACAAGAATGAAATTAGACTCCTACCTCATACCTTATCAAAATGTTCATTCAAAATGCACCAGACACCTAAATTTAACAGCTAAATTTATCAAATTTTTAGTAGGAAACATAGATGTAAATCTTAGGCTTTGATGTGTTAGCTTGTTTTTGCATTGCTATAAAGAGATACCTGAGCTGGGTAATTTAAAAAGAAAAGAGGCGTAATTGGCCCACAGTTATGCAGGTCGTACAAGCATGGTGCGTCATCTGCTTGGCATCTGGTGAGGCCTCTGGAAGCTTTTACTCGTGGATGAAGGGAGTGGGAGTATGAGCATGTCACCTGGTGATAGCAGGAGCAAGAGAGAGGGGAGTCATCTCAGGCTTTCTTAAATAACCAGATTTTTTTTTTTAACTCTCTGTCACGTAGGCTGGAGTGCAGTGGCATGATTTCGGCTCACTGCAATCTCCATCTCCTGGGTTTAAGCAGTTTTTCTGCCTTGGCCTCCCAAGTAGCTGGGATTACAGGCACATGCCACCATGCCTGGCTAATTTTTATATTTTTAGTAGAGACAGGGTCTCACCATGTTGACTAGGCTGGTCTTGAACTTCTGACCTCAAGTGATCCACCTGTCTCGTCCTCCCAAAGTACTGGGGTTATAGGCATTGCCACTGCGCCCAGGTAATTTTTGTATTTTTAGTAGAGATGGAGTTTTACCATGCTGGCCAAGCTGGTCTCGAACTCCTGAGCTCAAGTGATCTGCCGGCCTCGGCTTTTCAAAGTGCTGGGATCATAGGCATGAGCCACTGCACCCAGCCTATGATGACTTTTAAGACTTGAGTCCAAGCCACATAGCCATTAGAGGTGGCATGGAATGTTTTTCCAGGTATGAAGCGGGGACAGAATTTTTTTCTCTCTACATTCTGTACTCTTAAATTGTTTTGCTCAACAAACGATCTTTTGTATGTGAAGCATTGCACCTGGAACTGAGGATATAAAAGGCAGCATGGAGCTAGAATCGCTTACCAAAATTCTGAATTTTCTAGTTTGGGAGGCTGTTGGGTTGGTGATTCAAGAGGGAGTGACTCCAAGAGGAACAGGATTGGTGCGATCAAGAAAATTTCTTATTTTCCCATGCAGGCTTGCATGTAGTCTTTCTTTGTTCCTAGCTGTTGTTTGGAAGAATACCTTATCCTCATTGTCTCTACTTTATTAAAATATATATACTTTCTTTTAAACTTTTTAAAAATTGTTTCTTCATATTTGCCAGAGATCACTTATTGTCAAATCTGATGGCTTCATCTCAGTCCCCTTCTTACCCCTGACCTCCTAAAGAGGTCCTTTTTTCCTGTAAAGGGCCAGATAATAAATATTTTAGTCTTTACAAGTCATATGGTCTCTGTTGCAGTCATTCAGCTCTTCCATTATAATGTGAAAGCAGCCACATAAACAACACATAAATGAATGAGCGTGGCTGTGTTCCCATAAAACTTTATTTGCTAAAACTGGCAGCTGGTTAGATTTGGCATGTAGGCTGAAGCTTTCCTGATCTCTGCTCTGAAACGTGATTGTATTTCTACCATTTTTGGGAAGGGAGGGAAGAGTGTTTCTTTCCTTCAGTGATACTTTTCCCCTTTTTCTCATTTATTGGCACCTTTTCCTGTATAGTCACTTTTTCATGTCGTTCTATCTATGGCTATTTTCTTGCTTTTATACTAAGGCTTCTGTTAAGGTTTTTAGGCTGCAGATCCTCTTTCTCCACTGCTAACAGGAAATAACTAAGGTGGAGAGTTCACTCCTGCTGCTGCCTTTATGGCTGCCGCCTCTTTCCCCACTTCCTTTTATCAGGGGGGCGTCTAGGGGGCGGGGTGAGGGGCAGCTGCTGTGATAAAAGAAAGAGAAAAAGAGAGTCATTACCATAACCTGGTAGATGGGTCTGAACCACTGTTTTCAGGGTTATAGTTGGGTAGATTGCTTCCTCATGTTTGCTTTCATAAGTTCCCGACTTCAGCATCCTGTGCAGGCCTGTACTCCTAAAAAGAACCCTTAAGCATAGTATTCTGAACTTCTGTGATGTTTTTTCTTTGTTGACAAACACTTCTTTTTTTTCCTCACAACTTTAAAATAGGGAAAAAAGAAAATTTCCTTGCCCCAAATTATCCCTTTTCCATGCTGCGTGAAATTTTGCCAAATAGATTCATTTCAATTTATAAGCCAAACACACTTGGGAGGTTTAAGCATAGATAAGAGAGTTAAGGTTCATCCCGGCATCATTATGGAAAGGCTTAATCAGTTTGCCTTTTCTCTCCTTGAACTGAGATACACTCAACAATCGAAGTTTTAATAGGTGGGAGGGAGGGAAGAAAGGTTAGAGAGAAACATACTTTGGGCTTTTTCTGGGAGCATAGCCAGCAGTGACAGCTGGGGTTTTGGGACTTGCAGAGGTGGGGCTGGGAGAGGGAAAAGGGAAGTGGGAGGATGCACAAGACAAATGTCAGTTTTGAAAATGTGCCTGCTTTCCAGATCTTTGCTCCTCTTTGCTGCCTTTCTTGATCTGTACTATGGTGAGAGAGAGAGAGAGAGAGAGAGAGAGAGGGAGAGAGAGAGTGTGTGTGTGTGTGTGTGTGTGTGTGTGGTGGGAGAGACAGTACAGAGGAAGTCAAATGAAGGAGAAACCAGAGGTAATTTGTCAGTAATCCTCGAATAGCAGTAAGGCCCAGGCAGTTTAAGCATCTTCTTTCAAGTCACACTGCTAGCTAATGACAAAGCTAAGATCATTTAAACTCCTCCACTCAAGTGATCCTCCCACCTCAGCCTCTCAAGCAGCTGGGACTACAGGTGCACAGCATCATGCCAAGCTAATTTTTTGATTATTTGTAGAGACTGAGTCTTGCTGTGTTGCCTAGGCTGGTCTTGAACTCCTGGTTTCAAGCAGTCCTCCCCACTCAGCTTACCAAATGGCTGGGATTATAGGCATGAGCCACTGTGCCCAGCCCAGATCTTCATATGCTTGTGTATTCATAATGCTCATGGTTTTTGGTGGTACCTAATGAGAGGAATAGGAAAATGTACATCTATTCTGTCTTCCTAGAAGCAGAAGTTACACACAGTTTTTAAATAGCAATGGTTTTTTAATTTATGGAATTTTAGATGAAATATAAAATATAATATACATACATATATAAATATGTAAATGTCTTACATGTACATTTATATGTATTTTATATACTATATATGTATTTATGTATGTAGCAAGGGAAACAGTTTGATTGTTGTTGCCTAGAGTTGGCCCCTGAATTAGTTTTCATAGTTTTCTCCCATTTTTCCCTTTATGAACTCTCAGTCTCTAAAAATGGTAAGTTTTTATTCCCCAAACTTGTGCTAAATGTATAGTGGGAGTTTGGATCCATACTGTTTGATTCATACAGTGATTTTTGACTCTCGATACACCTTAGACTTGTATAGGAAATTTTTTTAAAAAACAACCAACCTATGCCTAGACAACACCAGATTCTTTGGGCCAGGTCTAGGGAATAAGAAATTTCAGAATTCTTTCCAGGTGATTCTAATATATAGCCAGTGTAAAGAACCACTGGCATAGGGTTTGGAATTGGGTGGTTGCTTGTGAATTATAAGGCTGTCTTAAAGAAGTATGGAGTTAGAAACTAATACATGATTTTTAAAAATCATTTTAATTAACTTATGGTAGAATCTGATGATTTATTTATTTATCTGGCAGTCGTATTTGGCCAAAGCTATAGATTAAGCCTTCTTTTCCCTAGGCAAGAAAATGAGGGACCGTGTTGACAGATTTCTTTTCTTTCTAAAATTTAACTATTTACTCTTAAGTTTCACCAAATTTCCAAGATCAATTTTTTTTTTCTGTTTGTAGACTTTGATATGTATATATGTCTGTGTGTCTTTTTTTATTATAAACTTTTCATATTTTCATTTGTTTCTTTTTTGTTCTTCATATATTTTTTGTTATTTATTTTGATTTCCTTCATCCTAATTTACATTGACTTCTATTATAGATTTTTGTGAAATTGATTTGTACTGGGCATTATACTGTTTTTGGACCAGAGCCTCATTTATTGCATCATATTATTGCTATCTTAGGACTAGTTTATTGTTTTATCGTAATTTAGTCATAGGAGCTCTGTGCTGACCTCTGCTTGTTTAGCTTTAACCTAGTTCTTTGTATCAACTTGAGTTTATAGGCCTTTGTGTAAACACCTGCTTAAGTTTTGTAGTTTCTCTTCGATAAGACTGGAGGTTGAATGATGTGTTCTTTATAATGAGTATTTTTATATTTTGCTGTGTCTTGATTACTTGATTAACATTCACAGATTCTATAACAACTTAGTCTTTGCCCTTTTGTTGTAAAATGTGACATAATTTTTTAACTTTAAGCAGGATGATTTTATGTTAAATGATAATTTTAAGGATAGTATGCCAATTACAGGCACTAGGCCTGGGTAACTGGAGCCTTTGCCCAAAATTTATGCTTTAGAGGGCTCCCATTCAGGCCCTGCATGGGCCATGCTACATCCCTGTGCCAGAGGCCGTAGCTTTCCCTCATAGATCATGCTCCGCATACCCAAGATCCCAGGATTCCCCATTTAAATGGTCCTGAGCTTATGCACGCATCTTCCCTTCTTTTCCTCATTAGGACAGACTGTACCAGGCTAGTGGTAGATAGGACACAGCTATTGCAAGGGTGGCATATGGTGGCGGGGAGATTGGGATGGAGCTATGACGTGTGTGTTGCACTGTTTTAGAAGTCAAAGGTGGGAATATAAAGTATTAAGCCATCGACCTTGGGTCTGTTTTCTTGCCGTGGGCCCTGCAGATAGTAACAGTGAGCCTGATAGTAGGTATGGATGCTATTGATTTACTTTGGATTGACTTGAATTATTGTTGTACTTTGGTAAAATGAAACTAGGGAATATTGCATATAATATTCTGATCTTTTAATAGTACTTCATGGTCTTGAACTTCTTGCCCTAGGAACTCTTTTTACCAGATGATACAAAAGCTGCTAATGACTAGTATTAATTTATTTCCCTTATCCTATGGTCAAATTATACTAAGTTACATTTCATGAATCTTTTGTTCATTATTTCCTTTTTTCCTACTTTGCAATCATATGTTTTTTCTGTTTTGAAACATTTTGATACATTCTGGATAGTCCCTTTGGATGGGGGTATTGGTTCTTCTTTCTGGCCTTTAAAGCTCTGATTCATTTGCTATTTTATTCCTAAGATATTATGAAAGTTTTCTAACAGATTTTAATTTTATTGTGCTTCTGAAATTGTTTTGATAATACATGCACTTAGTTTATCTAACATATGTCAGTTATTTCTGACATTTGTCTTCCCTTAAGTTGTCTGATACATGCAAGGCAATTAATCAGTTTTATTTTTCAATCTGTTTTATTGATGTTTTTGTACTCAGTCTTATTTTTCTGAAACATTTAGTAGTTCTAGTATTTATACACATAGTCTTATCTTTCATTTTGTACATTTATAATATGTAAAGGTTTATGATCTATTATTTGTTGCTATAGATAATGCAATGTAAAGTATACATTGTACCATATTTCAGATGAGATACTTTATTTAAATAGCTGAGATAAAAGTTTCATGGCTTAAGTGGCATCCAAACCATACTCCTTTTCTTGAGGAGTTATTGTGCTGTTAAAATGCCTAGTATTATTCTAAAATTAAACATTAAAAGGCCTTATCTCCAAACTTATTTAACATTTAAAATATTACTTTATTCACTATTCTTAGAAAAGTTTCACTCTTATTTCATTATTCTGAGATATATAACTTAGTATGCTTTGTTATTGGCAGAGCCCTCTTCTTTGTCAGGGTAGAAATTTAGGTAGTCAGTGATGGAGTATGAGCATAATGCTTGCAGAAGGGTTGTGTGTTTTCTAAGGAACATCAGTTGGCTACCTAGACAACATCACAGAGAGCAACATTTATTATTCAAGACTGATCCACCAATATAATAAATATGGATCCATCTCTTAGCATGGACTTAAATTAACTAAGTTCACTGGTATACAAATCTAAATTCCAATTTACAGTATTGCTTTAAAAATAGATATTTAACCCTCAAGCAAACAGGTGTTCATCACCATATTCTCGTCTAGAGTCAGTTTTACATAGGAATCCAAATTTTGATCAGAAGGCTACCAGGTGAAATTGGTTACTGGAATAGAGTAAATGGTTGGACGATCTTATTGATTACTCTTCAAGCTATACTCATCCGTGTTTACCACATGCATTTGTCTATTGCAAAGGCCAGGCATGTTTTTTAATGGTCCAGGGCATCCTCTTCTTGTTGCCCAAGGTGGATTTGGATTGCAGTGGCGAGATCCCAGCTCACCACAACCTCCACCTCCCGGGTTCAAGTAATTCTCCTGCATCAGCCTTCCGAGTACCTGGGATTACAGGCATTCACCACCATGCCGGGCTAATTTTGTATTTTTAGTAGAGATGGGGTTTTTCCATGTTTGTCAGACTGGTCTTGAATTCCTGATCTCAGGTGATCTGCCCACCTTGGCCTCCCGAAGTGCTGGGATTACAGGTGTGTGCCACTGTGCCTGGCCCTTCCCCTCCCCCCCCCCCTTTTTTTTTTTTGAAGTTTGGAGTGAGTGTGTAGCAATTCAAGCCAGCAATTCAAGGTAAACTAGAAGGTGGAGACCACATCCTGATGGCACTACAGCACTACCATTCTAGCCTGATTCTGCCCTTTTATGGTGATAACAACTTCTTCCTCTCTTACTTCCTCCCTCTCTTTCTCTCTTCCCCTGCCCCCAACTATCTGTCTTGTTAGTTTTCTATTTCTGCTGTAGTAAGTTACCACAAACATAGTAGCTTATACAGTATAAGCCTATTATTTTATAGCTCTTTAGGTTAGAAGTATGATATTGTTTTACTTCTGTCCCCACCTAAATCTCATGTCAAATTGTAATCCACAGTGTTAGAGGTGGGGCCTGAT